GATCCGAGCGCAGATCACGGGCTGAATACAATAATTGTCCCAAGATATCCGAGGGGGTCGTGACTGCTTCAACTTGATGACTGCTTCAAGCATGGGTCTCGATAGAGCTCTTATTCCCGGAGAAGTACAGGAAGACGAGCAGGAGACTTGTTGAGAGCCAGGCTCGCGGCAAGGGATACCAGAGTGAAAGGCGTCGCTCCGGAAAATCGGTTTGACACGAAAACGCTCTCTTGATGAGAACATGGAACTATGTAGCACCACCGAGAGGCCATTTCCGAGGGATCGGATTGAACTCGGATACCGTGAGGATCGCTTCCCTGACGAAGAATGATAGTGCTCGAACACGGACGGATCGCCCAAAACCACTTGGTCCAGTTGATCAACTGTGCAAGACCAGAGGTGTCGAATCCGTTGCCCGCGAGGTCTCTTTTTGTGGCCCGCCACTATTTCCCTACATACTCGAAGCCGACCCTTTCGAATGAGGACTTGGAAATTGAATGAGATCGGTTGGATGAATCCCTCCTTGAGACCGCGATCCCCGGAGGGTAGAAAAGCATTTTCCACGGACGATAGGCGTATATCTCCTTCTATACGAAAGTAGAAATTTGATGTGGCCCGCGGGCAGCTGCGGCGCTCGGATGTGGCCCGGAAAAATCCAAGTCTGACACCCCTGGCCTAGACCATCTGGTACAATAGAGCAATTGGACGAAAACCAACTCTTCCAAAACCAGCTGGGGCAGACACTGAACGGTCGAACAGATGGTAGAATGAGCTGCATCCTACGGACTATAGAGAGACGGGACTCTCCTCGGAATATCGGGCTTGAGAAATGCCTCGAGCTCAGAGAGAACTCGGAACACCTGAATGATTGGAGCATGATCATTCAGTATTCAGGAGCCGAGAAATGTTTGAGAAGGTATCTGGCAAGACTGGCGACTCAACGGCGAGAATCCCTATCCCATGAGAGTATCCGATTCGGATTCCCGGCCCCGCTATCCGCTACCGGAACGTTTTCGAACTTACGCGACTCATGAAAGCGGGTACTGCTCGGGTATCTCGACAGAGGAGAGAATAGTTCTGATTGTAGTATCCTCATTCAAGCACTTCCCGCAGCAAACGGCGACGGGGAAAACCTATCAGAGGCGATTCCCCCGTCGATGTGGTCGTCGGTCTTCGCTCTTGCGAATCGGATACGTATGGCAGTGGTTCCCCAACTTTTTCTTCCACGGAACCCCGTTTGGGAACCTTTGACGTATGGAATGCTCGAGATTCAGGTACTCTACTGATCACGCGCCGACAGTCCTGACGATTACCACCGCACCAATCAGAAGATGAGCTCCGGCCTCACAGCTGGTCGGAGCTCTACTGCGACAGGAATGCAAACCGCTCTTCGGAGCGTAGGCTCCGACGTACAGAAGGGGATCATCTACCACGCAAGGGTGTCGGATGAGGCATAGCGTCTAAGCGGTCAGGCGGGATGATCACGGGCCCGACTCCCGCATCCTACCTCGCTTGGTGGGCGCGTATCCCGGAAGCAAGAGAGGGGGCATCGGCATGCTTTCCATCATGCGTACTTCCAAGTCGCCTCATGATTTTGGACTTCTGGCCCCCCTCCCTCCGCTGGAGAATCCTGGATAGTCCATTGCTGCTCGCCACTGCATTCCAGAGCTGTCATTGGCATTGTCTGGCCTAAAGGACTCATTGCGTTCGACTCGCTCAACATACCGAACTCACACAAACATCAACGATCCGAGACGCTCACTAGGAGAGATAGATACGACGATACAGAATACGAAGCGTTTATGTGAACGTTGTGACTTTCTTTTGTCGGCCGGTTCCTTCCTTGCTCGACGGACTTTGCGGCGCCCGTGGTCGGGCTGATGGATCTGGCCGTGGGTCTCTTGCTTCCTTCCCCGAGTCACTCAGCATCTAGCCCTAAACACGAGACTTATAATATGATATTCTCAATGGAAACCGTTACCGTCGCAGGTGCCTACTCTCCGAGCCTCTACATCAGAGGTTCCCAAACTTTTTCTTCCGCGGAACCCTTCGCGGAACCCTTAGTGTTCCTAGGAACCCTTCCTCATTTTTCAAAAAATTCAAAGTCCTGTCAATTGCTCTTTCTTTTCAGCCATTAGAGGAAAAACCACTCGTTTGTTCCGGACCAGACCCGAATGTTCAATGCTTGAGTCGATTCTTGCGTAAATTAGGAATGCTCATCTAGTGGGAACGTGCCTTGTGCAACGATCTTCGCAGTGTGCATTCGTTGCCGATCGATGCGCCAATTAGAACGATTCCCTTCGGGATTGAGGAAGACATTTGGAATCAGGAAAAGAAGTTCCCCACAGGGCTACGACACCTAGGGCCTGTATATGACCGTACATATGGAAGCAAAACCTCGTCGCGGAACCCCGAGTTGCGCAAAGAGCAGCCCACGGAACACTGGGGTTCCGCAAAGATTTTTTCACGGAACCCCCGGAAAAGAGCGACGGAACCCCAAGGGTTCCGCGGAACCCAGTTTGGGAACCTCTGCTCTACATGGCGTCCAACGAGCAACGACTCCCGAATGGCCGTGACTACGTAATCGGTAGGGGTAGGTAGTACGTCGGCCCAATGCTGCCCGGCTGATGTGATAGGAATAATTCGTGAGGCTGGGATATATGTACATGTGTGCCCGCACACACTAGGCCGTCATACACACCTCGAAACTCAAGGGGTTCTTCGACAGCACTCATACCATAGCAAGGCTGCATATTGAGAGCCGAAGTCGAGGAAGACCCGGGCGCTTGTTCCGTGAACGAAAGGGCGGCTGAATGCATCGGATTCCTTGGACTATCGTCGGAGAAGATACCTAGTAATGTTCGGAACGGAGTGCGAGATCGAGATACGGGTGGCTTAAGTTTCGGTTATCGAAGATTTTGTCGTGGGCCCTTCTGGTGAGAGCCGGTCGCGAATTCGATCGCAGCTCCTGAAGACTCCCGCGTGACTATTTCGTGGCTGGCGGCGGACATCAGGTACACACAGTAGCGTATTAAGGCAGGGGCGGGGGTAGCGGACCGCCCCGGGCGGCACTTTCTACGGAGTTTTCAGGGGCGGCATTTCGGGGTTTTGCATCCGAGAAAACGTCAACAAATGTCAAAACGTCAACAAACCGGCTCAAACGGTTCCTCTCATAGAAAACCAAACTGCTTCGTTCGGAGCTGCGCGCAAAGCCGCCCAAGCCCTCAATCACAGAATTATTCCCAGCCCTTCACACACAACCCTGCACTCTGAGCTTCCGTATCGCGAAAATAGAACCGAACGAGCGAAGGTGAGCCAGAGATTGGGAAATTATCGCAGCGGGAATTTCAAGTAATAGATGATGACGTAGCAGCTCCTCCCCGATCTTGGAGGGGCTGAGCTTAGGCGATCCTTTCGAGGTCGATTGCCCACTCAGTCGTGGAGGATATGCTCGATGAGGTCGCGGATGCGACTTGTGTCCTCCGTGATTTCATTCTAGACGTGCAGATATTTCGTCGAGTCGACTGCATGAGTGTTTGGCGCACTTCGGTGTCTTGTAACTCTCGGGATACCTTTCTCCGGATACCTACCCATAGGATAAATCTGCGCGGAAGTTGCATTTCATACACCTTATCCACGTTGGGGTGTCCAGCAAGCGCGTATTCAGGGAGGGCATTGGGGGCCGATATCCCTCCCAAAAATGTTTGTTTCATACTACCTCTGTCGCCTTCTGGAACCGATTCCCGAATTTTCGGGGCCGCAGTCATCAAGTGCCCCCCCCCCAAAAAAAGACCTGGATACGCGCCTTGTGTCCAGATCAGATTTTATGGGAACATGGCAACCTTCGCAGGAGCAAGACTCTAAAGTGATGAATATATAAGGCAGGTTTCATCTCTAAGGAGAGAGCTGAAGTCCGAAAGTTCCGATCGGAATCGAATGATGCACCTCTCCGAGGTAGAAGCTAGCTCCCTGGATATATTTATCGAAAAATCGATGGCTTCCCCCACGGGAGTCGACAGGGGGACTTTAATCTACCTACGAAGAATTGACATCCCTCGACGGTAATCAACACAGCAGCTCTGATGTGCTCGATGCTATTGGGACGGGAATCTAAACCGAGCATGGCTCAAGGGTAGTGGGCATCGCCGGTCGAATCAGATCTGGCCCTGCGACACGTCGGGCCAAACGCAGAGAGCGGCGTCTAAAATTGGGATAAGCATCGCGACTGGAGACGGGCTCCGACACTGCGCCGCTATCCTGAGCGCTTCTGCCCCGCCTATATCAGCTGTGGAGGCCAACGCCTTCCGATATTAGGAGATCATGTCTAGCTTCCGGAGCGGGGATAAGAAGCGCCTCTCAATCGTGCAGAATCTCTAAAACGCTCGAGGGCCGGTAAATCAGCACTCTGTCGTTCACTGTAGCGATTAATAAGGTTAGTATCATGGATGGATAGCATTGCGCAGAGCTCGTGCTGAGTTCTAATGAAGTTGACGAATCTACGAGCGGCCTTAAGCTTTTGAGTCGGGGACTAAAACAAGTAGCTAGTTGCTATGGCGATGCGAATAACAAACATTTAACAAACGGCGGATTGGCTGCCCCCAGCCCCTAAGGCAAATTAGTGGAATGGCGTCGTAGTCTCCTGCCGTTTCGGTGCCTACCCTCCCCTCGTTGTTTTCGTGCTAAGAGCTCCGGTACAAGAATTCAGTAAAGTGTAGACGTCTCAATGCTTTCCTGAAAGCCGATCACGCTCCCAAACAACTACACCGATTTTTTATAGTGAGAGTCGGCTATCATGCACTCAATTCCTCCGTTGATTGCTTGTTCCTCTCCAGGGGCTTAGAGCCCGAGGAATCAGCATCTTTCATCGATATATCGTTGATGTATCCTCAAACTGAAAGAGGGAGGTGATCACCTACTACCGAGGTGTTTGTTGCTCTTATAGTCCCTCAACCAGCTCACGGCTTCCGCGAGGGGTGAAACCCGAACGACACCACATCATCATGATTGCAATGACCATGGACACGCTTGCCGTGTTCGCATCCTCTCACAAGAAATCGAAACCGACTAGCTCGGCAAATAATAAGGGTGAGTCACGGAATCGCTCTGCAGACGAATCCATCGGTAGAGGGACATAGCTAAACCAGATAGGCCCGGAGAAGGGAGCTCTTCGCTAGTTGTCGCAGGGAATTTTCCATGGATCGATGCAATTCAGCCATGCTCAATACTAGCGCGAGGGGATCACAATTCGAAACGTTGGCGAATTCTGGAACCAAGGGGCGGGAGGTTGTCCGCTTAGCGGATAAAACTATTGAGCTCCATGCCCTCAGATCAGAGTATCGTGTACAAATTAAGCATGCGTGACTCCAGGACCCCTCGAGATATTACATATGTACCTACTGCGGCAGAACTTGTCGAGAGCTCGGACGGACAGCATCGCGCCATGAGTCCAGCAGAATTTCGCAAAGAGGCGGTCGGTTCCCCTCGAGCTTCTCACAAACGAGGCTCATCGACGTGAAAAACGATTTTGTAAAACAGTCCATGACAAGCAAGGAGAATCTTCCAGCCAGCGTTGGCACTGCCGGCATCGACGAACTCATCTGCGAGTAGTGTCCCATTCCTTCTCGAGCTGTAATGCACCGTGTTTTTCACCATCTTCGGACATTCTCGTCCATACCCCGAGTCTCCAGAGCAAGCTCTTGTATCGGCGAATTTCCGAATGATCGCTCCGCTCCCACTCTGATGGACTAGCACATTCGTAAATCAGAGACAGTCCACAAAATGGCGAGAGCCTTCCCGGATTGGAATCGTTCAGGGGAGGCCCGTCCAATAGAGGGGACCGAGAGTCAGGAACCGCCTTCCTCTTTGAGAGACGAGTGCATTTTCAACATTTAGCGTCGCGGAATTCGACGCTCGAAAAAAAGGCATTCGCCGACGCTTCGAGAGCTTCGCAGCAGAGTGTACGGAAGGCAAGCGAGAAGATCAGCCCGTTGGCCGATCGGTGACCAGCGAAAGAATGAGTTGCGATTACAAGCTGCCTGTCTCCTCTAGGTCTGGAAAACTGGGAGGCGCTGCGTGCGTTGTCGTTAGAATCGGCGGGCGAACTAGAAGAAGGTTTTTAGAGAGCCGAATTTGTCTTTGTTTCCGAGGCCTAGTCGCTCGGGAATGTCCGCGACACCCGAAAGGCGACGAACGTTTCCGTGAGCCATGGGCTCGCGAGAAGACGACACGTGCAGTGTTCCTCGAATGAACACCCTCATTCAAGTCACCTCGCAGTCTAGACTATTTGCATCGCTGTCTCTGTGAGGAATTGTCGTTCCTATGAGTTGACGCAGAATTCCGTCCTTTCGCTTGGGATCGATGGAGTTGTCTGCTACGTGTGCGCCGTGCACGAAGCTTAAGAGCCCTCTTCTACAGCATTGGCGACGAGTATTGAGTTCGACTCGGAAGTCATTGAGGAAAGAAGGGCTCTTCGCCCGAATCACCTTGTGAGCTCAGTCGGTGTCATCCGAATTTGGATATTGTGCTCCCGATGCCAATCTCTCGAACAGTTGGGTGTCACGGCATCGACGCCGAATCCTGTCGTCACGCATTTCGGTGGCTAGGATCCCTCAAAAGCGACCGGAGATCGTGAACTTCGAGAGCGCGATAAGTTCTAGCCAGAGGCTTCAATGTGCCAGAACGCCTGAGCTTAGGACCAACGGAGACAGGACGGAGCACAGAGTGCGCGTCCTGCGAAGAAACGCGCACTGTGTCGGACGAGTCGTTCCGTCTATCGGTCACCGCTTTCATCTCCGCAACTGTCCTCCGTCTTGATACATATAATGTTACATTGTGCATTCCGGAGCCTTCCCGCATCTTATCCAAGTTCATAAAAACTCTCCAAGTTAGGACGGTTGTTTTCCCCTAGCAAGGTCCGAAAGATTAGCGGCAACTGGGTCGAAACGTGAAACAGCTCGAGCCTGGAGCCGACAGAGCCGGCTGCCCGTAGAGAGCTAGTCATGAATGAGGAAATCGGGGCATCATCTTCGCAAACTCCGGACATTTGACACACCTGCACAACACACTGCTGAGGAATCGAGGACTCCCTCGCATTGCTGGTACCCTCCAGATCTTCGAGATCGCTTCTTCTCGAAACTGAGAGCCTCCTTTACAATAGGAGCGAAACAGTTGAGAGGCCTTTCGTCGTGCCTTGGAAGGTCAATATATCGATCCAAGGATCCAGGGAAGCATGTTCGCCTCGAGTGCCAGAAGGACCGGCAATGATCCAGGGATTCCCCTTAACACCCAGTCGAAAAAGAAAGGTAACTGATATCCAGGAGTCCCGATAGGGAATTCCACGTTTAGACCGAAGACTGACAAGCGATCCAGCGGCGACCAGGTCTCTGTCTCTCTCACCTTCTGGAAACTGCTTCAAGCTCCGGCCCGCTCAGAAACGGGTCATCCACTCTGGCGCCGGAGAGCGACACGCTCGATATGGTATGCGCGAAGAGCAGAGAATATTTGGCATCTAGAGCCGGAGCAAGCTGGCGATATCGCTACATGGATCCTATATAAATCGATAGTGAAGAGACCGCGCGGCTCCCGCGGAAATTCGACTCGCCGAGATGGCCGATCGGAGCAGTCGTGGAACCTCTGCTTCATCACATTACCTCTGACACTTTGATGCAGTCAATCGAGGAACCCAGGGGATCGCGCCTGGGAAGCCCAGATATCTCGCTAATTGATCCCTGCTCGCTCCAGCGGGGAACGCCCAAACCTTTAAGCTCAGCTCGCCATCGACGAAAGTCTTCAACCGAAACCTCCTTCAGTTCGCTCTCAATGAATGATATCTCTCTCTCTTTCAGAGAAAGCCTTAGATGAACTCGAGACGAGTTCCGCACGCTGCAAACCGGAGGCCATAGGCAACCTTTGCAAGACGACTAAATTCAGCCGGGATGAGATCAAGCGAATATATCAGGGGTTCAAACAGGTTCGTCATCTAATAAATACAGCTTCCGTTGGAAGCAAAAATGGAAGTTCCGATAGACTCGTGAGGATCCAGGGAGCGTCTAAGGGAATCATTTTCGCTCATTCGCAGACTTGCCCGAGCGGCCTCGTTACGGAAACCGTCTTCAAAGACATGTACTGCCAGTTCTTTCCGCTAGCTGATACCACTCTGTATGCGCACTATGTTTTTCGAGTTCTCGACAAGGACAAGACAGGCACCATCAACTTCAAGGTAAAGTTTCCGGACCGCGGAGTTCAGGCGCGGGACGTTGGACCGCACGATTCTGCTATTGAGCCTCGCTCGAGCCTTGCTGCGGTGGAACTCACGGCAACGCGCCGTTCGACCAGGCCAAGAGTGTGGGTGAATAGTGAACAGCGGCCGCGTGCGCTCAATGATTGTGCACTCATTGAACGCTCCTTGGACGCGATGATTTTCTCATCTTCCGGAATTTAGCTCTTGTTAAAGTTTTCGTTCGAAATGAGCACGATGAGGAAAGCGGCACCAAGCTCTCTGAGCACGTCCCGCATTTTTCAGGACTTCGTCCAGGGATTGTCGGTTCTCTCCCGAGGCTCACCCAACGAGAAGCTGGAATGGGTATTCAACTTGTACGACATTAATAGAGATGGCTGTATAACTGCTGACGAAATGCTGGAAATCGTGAATTCGGTGTACTCTCTGCTGGGCCACTATGCTCAGCCTTGCATCGATGAGGTAAACAAACGTTTCCGGAAGTTAAGAACTATACCTAACCGAAGCCTCTCTCTGGGTTCAACGATACAAGCACCTCATAGGCAAATTCAACCTGTAGCTACCGGTGGATCATTCCCGCCGGGGGTTCAAATGATTAGCGGTCGGGTATGGAGCACTCTTGGAGGATGATGAGCCGAAGTTTCCGGAAGCGAATAGCCTCTAGAGATACGATATTTGACAGTTCTCCCAACCGACTTATCCCGATATCTATAGGCCGACTGCTGTTTGATCAGTTTCTATCGACACATATACGCCAAGCTGAAGGCCCTACCGCATTTAAGGTATCTGCGAGGGAGCATGTGACCCGTGTGTTCCACAAATTGGACTTCAACCGCGATGGCATCGTCACGAGCGAAGAGTTCGTCCACGCCTGTTTGAAGGCAAGTATAGCTCACTCAGCTGGTAAAACTCTAGCATCGGTGCCGCAGTGGGCTAAAGCCAGGTCTTAGGTGGACAGAACTATTCCGCCCACTCCGGCCGTGGGTAGTTCGAGAAGTGAGGCGATCATTCGACACTTGCAGAGAAAGATGAGATCGAAATGACCAGGCGCGAGTTCGTGCTGGCTCTTTCCGACATACGGTGCTACAATCTGAAAACGCTCTCCGATGTCGGAGACAATTATTATCGAAGCTCTGAGCAGAGTTCCAAGATTTTTTGGAAATTTTCCGATCACGAACAGCCGCAATCCACTAGTATGGAGCTCCACTAATCCACTAGTATCTTAGTTTTCCAGAGAAGCGCGAGACCGAGCGATTTTTCCAGTTAGTTCATAATACCTGTAGGATTCGATAAAACCTATTAGAACGAAGTTCGTGTCGTAGCCGTTGCTCTTCGGTCATAGGAGCCCTCCCCGATTTCCCGTCTTTCCCGATTCCGGCGGAGAAAATGTATACGGGGCGGCAATCTGCGGCACATGCGCCGCGGTAATCAGGAATCAAGGTATCGATTAGGTTCGCGGCCCATCTAGCACTGAGAATCGATTGTGAACCGGAGAACTATCATGTGGCGGAATTATCGTGCGTGGTACGAAATTATCAGAAGTTGGATGGGGCGAATGGAATCGAGGATAAGCATCGTGTCCCCCCACACCCACAGGCTTCGTCGCCGGTTATTTGGACAATGAGGTCCTATTGTACGGAAACAGTTCTGCTGAACAGAGCGCAGTAGAAGGTGAAAGTGACAGGAAGGGAATCCGTTGTTCTACAGCTCCACGGTATATATATCTAATTCGGTACGAGTTCGTCAGGCGACTGGTAGAGCCGTGAACCACGAGCTTCTACCAGGGAGCCTGGGATTCGATCGAGCTTCGCAATGAATATCGGCTAGCATATTTCTCTGAGGAAAGTCTCATTATTCACCCAGTGGGGCCTCGCACTGAGTAAGAATCCTGATCAGAGTGGGCTCGAGAACTTGCGTCTATTCATTATTCCATGTCGAATGAAGCAATGGAATACTTCTGCCCACCTAGAAAATGCTTTTGCACACTGGAAATGCAGGACGTCATCGCTCAGAGACCTCTGCTCGAATTTATCCGTGCCGATGCGATCTCATGTCGTTTCTCTCTCAAGGATCCAGAGATAGTGCGCTCACTCGGAGTCCTGGATACTGTGCTGGAATAGGCGAAATGGCCGAGCCTCTTAAACGAGTTCGAGGGACTCCAGGAATAGGCCCCGACCCGAAAGGAATCGACACTACAGCCGGAGCTCCTATCACCTAGATCAGTCACGGAAATCGAGGTCGGTGAACCGCCGACGAACGTCAGCCGCCACTGTCGGAACCTCCCCTGCCTAATGGGATTTCCCATTTGATATCCCAAAATGGCTGGGGGGGAAGGCAGTTCTGCAGTCTCCTACACCGTTGTCCGAGTGAATCACTGCAACAAACAAAAATCCTTCCTGTTCCAGGTTCCGCTGCTTCGATGGATCATTGAGTCTTTGGAGGTCTGGAGTTCATTCATACCTACTGTGTATCTCCCTTGAATCCGTTATAAATAAAGCTTTAATCGGGCTCGCTCTCAAATGAATCGTGCGTTCCATCTCGTGAGTCTCGCACTCGTGCTCCAGCTTCTACCGGCGAACCGCAGCATCATTCTTAGCATCAACCTGCTATGTCCCGAAGTTCGCAGACTCAACATCCCATGGAAGGGAAAAAAAATTGGGCTGGGTATGGTTTGAAAGGACACTCCGGAAACAAAAACTTTGCTTGCGCTCCTCCAAGGAGTGAAAGTTTTGAACCATTCGAAATTTCGACTGTGCCAGTCAAGAATATTGGTTATATCCCATGTGTTCGATCTATGCATCAGCATACATATGAGCGAATGCGAGTCTTCGTTGATACGTCCTCGATATAATATGTACTACATCAACGAAGCTCATTTGGAGCCTGTCTCATTTCCATAAATCGATTTTGTCCTCTGCTTATCGAGCGATGAGTGATGAGCGCCAGTTGCTGAACAGCTATCAGGAGAAATATGGAGAACCTCAATTCCCTGACTTTCCCGTTAGTTCTTTGCCCCGAGCATTCAGGTCACCTCCCGATTCCCGGTCTACCGCGGCCACTGATTGATTTTTGAACGCCCGCGGCATTGTCGAGGAGTCTGGCTCGGTCTCGCAGGCTCTCCTCCCAGAATAGCGTCCCCCACCGCCTCCGGAGCACCAAAAGAATTCGAGTTCAGAATTTATCGGCCGCGCACCATGATTCTTCCGTTCGGAAGCCCGGTTTCTACCGTACACGGTATCAGAGCATGAGCGAGGAAGTTTCGCCACATCGTTCGTGACGAGTGTCGGTGGATGGCATTTGCGGAAAAAAGATTTAGAAATCTCAGGGTGAACTGTGAAACGAGGAAAACGCTTTCTTGGTCAGATCAGCGGACGTTTCGGCAGACAATTCATTAATATTCACGGGTGTCGATTCACGAGATGCTCGTCTTCTAGAACGAAATCTTGACCTTTGCTACAAGTTCTTTAATCACCGTGAAATCCCGCCAACAGGGAAACTCTCTGTCGGAGGGAAAAAGCACCAGCTTCGGTTCAGCCAAGCTGAACCGTGTGTCTGCCACGACTCCGCAACATGAACTTATACTCTGCAGACAGTTATGAGCTCGTGTTACAATCAGTGGCTGGACCATAAAGGCAATGATGATCCTGGTCCTAGGGGGGGGGGTACAGGGCATTTCGGATATTTAGCGCTAGGAGGATTCGGTCGCGAATAAGCTTTTTGAATACACGATCGAATCCCGCGGAAATCTGGTCCATCGTGTTGAAAGTTGAAAGAAGGGAGATTCTCCTCATGGGCCCTCCACGGTTCCGCTAACCCCAGCTGTTTTCTCACGGTGCTTTCTTGATGGTGCAGGTGATCGATTCGATGGAGAAACTTTCATTCTATATAGCTGTGATTAGCCTGTAAGTCAAAGTCTCTCTGGCTCCGATTCTCGAGAACTTTTCAAGTCTCCCTAGTGAGCGTTCCGTACAGCAGGGCGGGGACCGAACCTCAGTATCGGTTGTCTCATCACTGGAAGAGGCCGATCGGGGACACAGGATAGTCGGAAACAATGTTTTATCACCATCTCATGGTCTGTGCATGAATATTTAAAAGCTGGCTTCTGTCCAGCCGAAGTTCCTCTGATTATCACAGTGATAGAGGTGATATTGCGAGCAGCCAGCTCCACAGAGTTCGCACCGACAGTATTCGTCCGGTGTATAGGCGTTCGGCCTTCTTTCTTGGTGGAGCAGCTCGAAAATAAGAAATATTGAGAACCTTACTTGCCTGATTTTCCCGCTTAGTTCTTTGGCCCGAGCATTCAGGTCGCCTCCTGGTTATGGAATCCGTGTACAGCTCCACTTTTTAGCCGATGTTTGTTCGTGAATCGTTGCTGCTTCCAGCAGTCGATGGTCAGGGCGGGACAGCTCAGGAACTCCACGTCGATTTCTGAAAGCCTCCCCAGCCAGGAGTCGGGGTGTCGTTGGAACGTCGCCGTCATCAGCGGACGATATTACCTCTGGACTTCCTCCGCGAACAACGGTGTCGCCGCGAGCAGATACTCGAGGCGGTTTGCGACCGAGCAATGCACCCCGAGGCGATCTTAAGGAAGCTGGCCTTGAACTTATCGAGCTTTCCCAGCTGACTTCCAACCAGGTGTTCCCACTCGAGCTGGATCCCGTAGGAGGCGATCGCGGCGATTTTGATTTGAAAGAGCGACAGAGCGGTTCTCAAGGGGAGTTCGCGGGCCTCCGAAATGGAGCTGAATGCGAAGCTTTCTTCTCCAGCCTCTTCTCGACGTGTTCCGCGAAAGACAGTCCATACCTGCTGATGGTGATTCCCATGTATGTGAGCTCGTTCCCTACCTCAATCCGCTCTCCGGCCGAAGATGCCTCCTGATGCCGAGCATCCTCCTCTGCTTAACTCCATGAGCTTTGTCTCCGTAACGTTCACGAGGGGATCCTTTGTCTCTGAGAAGCGGCTCAGCGTCTCCATGGATTTTTGTAGTTGCTCGCGGGACCTTGAAACGAGAATCGCGCCATCGGCTATTTAGAGAAGTCGTGACGAGGTCGTGGTTTGCGTAGAAGATGTCCGGGACATCACTCAGTAAGAATGGGATACAGGATAGTGACATCGAACATTAGTGTCTCCGACGCCACCGGCCATGGTTTTCCGAGTGAACGTTCCCTTTGGCGCGTGAAATGGACATGGGCAGCCCAGCCGTAATAGTCAGTGATTGAGTCGCACCATTCCGAAACGTGGCCGCAATTGGCATGAAGGATCGGTCTGCGAGAAGCGAGAAGAAGTTTTTTTCAATCAGGGGTTTTCCATCCTCCTCCCGCGTCAACTTGGTGCTGCTTCCAAATGATTAAAAAAAGTACCGCAGATATTGACCATTCGATTCGTGGTCATACTTCACCAGTCATCTAGCTACAAGCAAGAGGTCTTCATGAGGAAACCTTCGCAAAGATTTGTTCTGGACGCTTGGTTCGGAGCGGTCTCCAATCCGGTAGCAGTGGTGATTTGCTTTTCTACCGCTAGCCGAAACATGGAGCCCGTGATCTCTGTGGTCAGTGATCAGCACCACCTGCTCGAGTTTGGAATTAAGAGCGATTCGTCACAAACCGTGGAAAGCATCCAATAGCAGCCCGGCATCACATGAGCCACCCGACAATCGAGACATTTCCGAATGCAAGATATGACGCTGACGTCGCATCGTTCCTATCAATCAATTCGGCATCGCAGCCTTTGTTTCTTTCTCTATCGGGGGTTCGTCACAAAGCCTGCGGTACCCTCTGTTTAGCCATCGATAAGCCTGGATTCCTCGAATCCAGACCCTGAGCAACGCTCGAAAGCTACGCTTGGCTCAGCTGGGCCAGTTACCTCTTCTCTGATCATCTAATGGCGCGCTGGTATGTGCTCAGCTACGCTCAGATCCTCTGACTCATGAACTCAAGTTGTACAGTGTCCAGTGATAATTAAAGAAAAATATGAGTCAGAGCCCCCGCTTAGAGCAGAATCCTGCTCACATTTTTTCTCCGAGAGATTTCTCGCCTGGGAGAACTCGCTGGCAGAAATCATCTAAAACCTCTCAATCAGGACCCGCAGACCAGTTTTTCGTCGTCCCCCTCGAGCGACTGCTGGGCGATGTCGAGATTTGATGTCCCGAGGGATCACGTATCCCGACCGAGCGATTTCAGCCGGCTTCCACTACCCATCTCAGATTCTACGATGCTATCCACACGGAGCTCGAGAGTCGTCGACGCTCCTGATCAACAGCGAGAGGCAGAGTTTCCGATCGGATCGAGTGGTTTTCCTTCTGGATATACCTAGTCATTGAATAGCGAACCGGTAACAGCGAGATTCAATCATCGTCCCGAGTTGTGATTCTAGTAGACCTCCGGTGCGCGACGGCTACTCGTGAATAATGCTGGCTTCTCTGACCGTTAGTTTTTTTCAGAAATGCGCTGCACATGGTGCGGATCAGGATGGTTATACGGCGGCGAGTTTGAATTTCCGTAGTTTCAGAGACGGAATGGAACGACGAAAGCGTCACAGCCTGGAGTTTTTCGGATGCAGAATCGAAATAAATCAGGTTCCGTCTTGATCTCCAAGGAGTCTGCCGATAGAAGGAGGGCCGATCATGATGTTGATTCTTCTGACAGGCGGACCCTCGGAAGGGAAGGATCACAAGCAAGACAGATCCAAGATCACGGTGTCTGATTCCGAGCAAATATTTCTCGGCGCTCGTTATCATGCTATCACAATCAAATCCCCTCAATCTCAATGACCTTAGCTCCGGATTCCAGGAGCCCGCGGGTCCCCTGTAGTCGCCTACTTGACCAGAAACATTCCCTCTGGGAAAGACGTCGGGAAAACAAGCTCTGTGAATCAATATTCTCTGGCGGAAGAGCTGTTTCATCCACTGCATATCCCAACACAACCTACACTTCCCGAGGCTACGCGATAGAACCGAATTTTTCGAAAAGGTGTGATCGATGCTTCGAACGTTCATCAGCTCACCCAAGTCAGAATCAGGGAGATCGGGATACCCTCATTGTTGCGACTCACGAGAGCGAGATCCCGAAAGTGACCTTGGCCCTCTTATACGTGAGTCACACCGAAAAGTAAACGGCCACCATTCTGTGAGAAAAACACGCTGGACAAGATCTTTTTTATGCATTCACCACCGATATTTGGAATAGCCGTTCGGGGTTTCACAAGTTTTTCGCAAAAGTTTAATACAACACGGATTTCCATACAGTTCGAATTGTTTTCGGTGAAGGCTACCGCTGTACACCGCTTCGAATCCCTACGAGAACGACCGCGGACGCAAGGCGGCATCATCCGAGAGCGGCAGTCACGTCTCCAGGAATCATGCTCATCATGTGAGCCTGGATCCTCGTCAGTTTTCGTTTGCACATGACCCTCTCAGCAAATGACTCGGCTCTCCCCTTTGACGGGGCCTCCCCCGAAATTGTACCATTAGCGGAGACAACGAATCGGACGCTTCACATGAGGAGAACTCCCTAATCTATCGAGGCTTGAGATATCGGATCACAGGGCTACGAAGCTGCTGTAGCTTCGGGAGCTCGGTCCATGCTGGATCAGACGCCCTTATCGGATGTCCGCTCTGACGATCACGAATCACGACACGGAGTTGATGCGCCGCGCCGTGAGGAAAAAAATTCAGCATGCAAGCTTCGCTGATCTAGGCTTGCCGACAAGCGGACTCTGTGTCTCATGGGGGATTATCTGGGAAATAGGCTCTCGAGAGCTGCCGCAATTTTTGCACGTTCTTGTTGCCTCGGAGGCTCGCTGCCTCGCCGGAATTCTTCTCGGATACCCAGAAGGAGTACTTGAACTTCGATTCCGCTACAGCGCTTTGCAAGTCCCAGTCGGGGCCTGCCCGTTCACTTCCGAGCCCCCTGCGAGGTGCTCGTTAATTGGAAGGCGCTCGCATTCCAGTAGGTACCCGCTCATTTCCTCAGCCACGGTGGGCTGTGCCAATGTGTTCAAGACTTCCATCAATCAACGAGTCTATACAGCCTGAAGAATAATTATGAACCTCGTGATGGAGAAACGAATGGTTGATGGGATGGGGGTTTTTCATCCACTCAGCCGACTTATATGTCGATGATTTTTCCTTGGAGGTTTCCTAATGCTCATTAGAGTCCCCAGGGGCCTCCCATCCACCTCAATGAGGACACCGAAGTTCCCCCCGCGGAAATCTTCTGGGGCTCACCGGTGAGCGTGATCCTCCGAGTTCCGAATCCGAGGGGAAATATAGAGCTCCCGGCTCGACGCTCGAGTTTGCTAAGCTTAAATTCAGGTTCACTCCTTCAGCACTGTAGCTCTTCTGAACGGCTGACATCTTCTAATATTGGGCAACCTGGCGGGAATGGGGAATAGACGGGCACCTCCTGATTAGCTGAGAGCCCTTCGGGTTCGGACTGTTGATGAGAAACTTCTATCAGGATGCCACCTGAGTTGAGCGCATGTTTGATTCGAGCGCACGCTGAATCAAGCTCCAAGGTCAGGTTTCCCCGATATCATATATCGCCGAGAGCTCATCACCTCTCATGTATACTTGGCTAGCTCCGTGGATTCTTGTCGGATCGAGACTACGATTCCCGAAAGTCGCACCTTTTCCGGAGATCCGCGTTTCTTCAGTGCGCTTCAAGGGGCTTCCTCGCCATTCCTCTTACATATATACCCCAGGTTGTGCTGGAAGCCCGATTCGCTAACTCTGATCAAAACGGCTCCCTGGGGATCCTCCTAATGTCGACTGGGAGCCCACACACCCGAAACGATCAGAAAAGAAGATGAATTCCTGGATCGGGACATATGAGACACTCGCAATGCTATCCCCAGCACCAGAACAGCTACTGGCACGATAAGAGAATCTGGTGAGGTAAGGAGTCATCGAACCCGATGGTTCACATAGGCTTCCAGGACTGACTCATGGCGGCTCTGACGCACCGGGAACTACCGTCCGGACCAATAATTAGTGACCGCGCAGGCACACTCAATTGCGGTGTGGGACTCTTTAAAATTTGTCTTCCCTACGTCGTCGGTCAGTCAGACTTGAGTGATGGTGGACTTTTTCTTTTCGATCTCATTGCGACAGCAAATGGAAGCACAACAAAACTGTGGCCCCAAATATCGGTCGAACAACAAATGGTTGCAATCAGCTTTTCACTCACCAAAGCCAAGGTTCGTAGTAACCCCTCACACTCGTTTGCGGCGGCGAGAAAAACCCACAGCGGGAACACGTCACGAACAGTCCGCTCCGGGAATCAACCCGCAGCAGCGAGTCGTGTGGTGTTCCAAGATTCATTTTTTACTAACCAACTTTTAGCGGGGCGTACCAGCGACGCGGTCGAGCTCGCAGATCGAGGTGATATTTTACTTGTAATTGTGTATACGTTTGTGAAGTATTCTGGCGTCCCACGTCTGATACGCCGGCTCGTCTCGTCGCGGAGATCAACATGAAAGCCCTCAGGTATGTAGCTTCCGTTTCGAAGCCGGTATTATCAGCTCGACGACGGCGGAGTCATGATTTAAAGCAGAGTCATCGAGGGCGAAATAGTGATGCGGACCGGAGCCCGATCTGATGCAATATGAACGAGCACTCCGACAAACTCTGTGTGACAGCGGAGTCAAGCGACTCCATCCGCGTGCCCCGGAATTTGTAGTCAAGGGACTCCGAACTTATGATAACCCGTTCGAGTACCTGCTCGCTTGCAGTGGGTGGTATTCGCTAAGAGTGGGCCTCTTTCCGGGGCGATGTCAACGATCACCTGAGGAGTCATGGATTTCGTAGGGGAGCCGATTACATAACTCTATTTTTACGCGGTCGAAAATGAGCTGTATCACAAACGACAACTCTTATCGACAAATCCATGCACACGGCTTGTTGCTAAATTTAGTGAGCTGGCGACCCTTGGCTGCGTACCATCGCAACCATCACCATCGGCCAGTGCTTCGACTTCGTCTTCCGGGATGTTTGTGCGCAACGGCAGCGAGCGCCCGATTACGCAACGTGCAGCTCACTCAAGCGTTTCGTTCAAGACGCTGACTCTTTTATCATAACTGGTTAAGAGCCAGAACACTCGATGCCATGTTGCGCTCCTCTGTGATTCGAATCCATGTAGCGCTGAAAACGGATTCTACGAGTGCTGATTTTCGACGGGGTCTGTGGATGCAAGCTGTGCAGAGGCATGCTGCCTATGTCCCAGATCTTCCCGCGACGGTCCAGCCTCATTGTTGCACAAGCGATACTTGGATGAAGGCGGGAGCTGCCGGAGAATTAAGTGCTCAACAGCGAGTCAAATCGGGGAGCCTGCTGATCGTGAGCGGATCCGGACGATATATCACGTCACAGTATGCCCGGTGTTACGGTATTTCTCTCTTTACTTTCGTTTTCTCTCTTCAACAACGGTCGCACATTCGGCTGTAATGTTTCATCCGCCCAATCTGACGTGCTTCTTCGAATCCAAAGATTCGTTCGCATTCTTTCTGGCTTTCGGGTAAAGGTCAAGGTCCCCATTGGACGCGTCTCCGAAAATGCCCCATCGGGGCGCTGTCATATGAACCTCCGCACGGATCTCTACGAATAGATGAAAATTGCATCGCTCCGACAGCTCTGCTGAAATCTCGAGACTCTAGACCGACGGGATGAAATTCTGAGAAAAGAATAACGTCCTCATCCGAGGCCAATGTTGAACCCAGTATCTGCGAAGGAGAGTGAGAAGCTTTGCCTCCCTGGAGCTAGCCTGACATTGGAAATTCTCGTCGAATCGCGATGGGAAAGTCGACGAACTTGACAAGTTTCAAACAGACGGTTCCAAATCGACCCTGTGGCTACCTGAGGGGTGAAGCTTGAGTCGAGCCGGGATCGGCGACGGCGAAAAGTAGGTGAAGCGGAGCACTTCGATCTTGTTTTTCTTTGGGGAGGGTGGGTTGCACGCCGTTGGCCCGCTCGTGGGAAAAGAAGCGGAATACGGGGCCCCATTCCTGAGGCTAGCAGACCAGCGACTCAGTACGAATTCTCAGTGGCTTCGAAAAGGATTTCGGGCTTCCCCGGTTTGGGATGAGGGTCTTGTGCCGACATGGGAGGCTTCAAAAAGATCTTCGCCAGCGCAGATCGCCTCCGGAACGGACGCGGACGGCTCGCATAGAGTCGACGCATTGATCCTCGGACATGTAGA